GGGGCAAAACACGTGAGTGGGCGTGGTCTGCGGAGAAGCGTAGACTGAGGCCGCTTCTTACCTTTGTTGCAGCTGGTTGGAGGTGGAGTCTCTTTTGTTTATAGGTAAATGCACCTTTCTCCTACCTCCACTCTTAACTCCAAAACGCATTGACTCCTGCTGCCTCTCCTGGGTAAATGCACCTTTCTCCTACCTCCACCCTTAACTCCAAAACGTATTGACTCCTGCTATATTCAGAACAAATGGTGTATTTATATTTGTGTATATGTTGACCAGCTCTCACCTCCAGCTGCACCCGTTTTACGATTGTTGTCTGTTTCCTGAGAATCATCCCCCACTACTCATGTGATCCTTATCAGCTTCTAATTGGGGTGGAGTTGAATGCTCATTTGAGCATCTCCCTATAAATTTAGATCAGCTCATGGGGGAGATCTCTGATGGGGGGCACAGTCTCTGATGGGGGTGCTGCTTCAGATTGAGTGCGGCTTAGAAAAGAGTGCATAGAAGAAGCAGTTTAAACAGCAGTTGAACAGCAAAGAACTCAAGCACAGGGAAGACACAACAACAGCAAGAAGCTCTACTGCATGCTGGAAGACTGCAAGCAAACACCCTGGGAAACCTCTTACATGCCTGAGTCCCACTCTGTGTACCTTTTATATAATACACCCCCTCTTCTCCTTATCATATTACTATCCTCTGTTCCCAAATCTCATTTCTTTACCCCTCTGCTCCACCCCACAACCTGTACATCTCCCCCTCACTGCTATCATCTCCCTACTATTGCTCTCTTCACCTCCCCAAAATGCCTCTTCCACTCCTCCTTCTCATTTTCCTCTCCTCCGTTCCCAAAATCCATTCACTATATCCCTCTGCCCCTCCCAAACAATTGTATATTGTGTCCTCACTGCTCCCTTCGCCCCTCTATGGCACCCACCACCTCCTCCTATTACTCCGCTCTCCCACTGACCCCAACACCTCCACTAGGAGTTTCTCACGCTCCTGCACATCCCGCTCCCATGCCACCTTTCTCACCCTTCTCCTCCTCCTAGCCTGTGGGGGACATCTCCCCGAATCCTGGCCCTCCACCTCCCTCACCCGCTCAACACCCTCCCACCTCCACGTCCTACTGCAACCCCCGCAACTTAGTATCTGTCCCCCTGCTCCCTAAAATCTCCCCCCCATTTTCATGTGCACTCCTGAACGCCCGTTCGGTGTGCAACAAGCTTACCGCCATCCACGACCTCTTTGTTTCCCGCTCCCTCAACCTCCTAGCGATCACGGAAACCTGGATCCAGCCCACTGACTCTACCTCCCCTGCTGCACTCTCCTACGGAGGTCTCACCTGGACCCACTCACCCAGGCCTAACGGTCGTAAAGGTGGTGGGGTTGGTCTGCTCCTGTCACCGCACAGCACCTTCCGAGTCCTCCCAAACCCCCCCTCCCTATCCTTCTCCTCCTTCGAGGCCCACTGCGTCCGACTATTCTCCCCAACCCCCCTGAAGATTGCTGTGATATACCGGCCTCCTGGATCCATACCCCGCTTCCTGGATGACTTCTCCTCCTGGCTACCCTTCTTCCTCTCCTCTGAGCTACCCACCATCATCCTTGGGGATTTCAACATCCCTGTCAACCTCGACAACCCGGACACAGCCCGTCTCCTCCACCTAACCTCCTCCTTTGCACTTGCACAGTGCATACAATCCACCACCCACTCCGACGGAAATATCCTGGACCTTGTCTTCTCCAACCGCTGCGCTCCCCACAACCTCACTAACACACCCCCTTCCCTCTCTCTGACCACAACCTGATCACCTTCTCTATCTCCTCGTCCTCCAACGCCTACCCCTCCAAATGTCACACTACTACCAGCCGTAACCTCCGCAACCTTAACCCTGCCTCCCTCCACTCTGCAGCTGATCAACTCCACGACCGCATCCTCCCCCTGTCCTGCCCCGACTTGGCTTTGACCGCCTACAACAATGCGCTCTCAACAGCCCTTGACTCACTAGCGCCTTTAACCACACGCAACATCAGACCCCGACCGCTCCAGCCCTGGCAGACTGATCACACCAAAACCCTCAAACGACAAAGTCGTGCCCTGGAGCGACTATGGCGCAAAACCAAATCCCAACAAGCCTTCACCCGCTATAAATCTGCCTTCCGCACCTACACCTCCTCCCTCCATGCTGCCAAACAGCCCTACTTCTTGACCCTCATCAAGGCCCTCTCCTCCAATCCTCGCCGACTCTTCTCTGCCTTCAGCTCTCTACTCTCTCCACCCCCACCTCCACCCAGCACCTCACTCACTGCCCTTGAGATTGCCAATCACTTCAAAAACAAGATTGACACAATTCGCAAGGACATTGCCGCAACTCACACGCCCTCTCAACCCGTCCCCTCTCACACAGCTACCCCCTTATCCCCCCTCCCCCTCGACATAACCCGCAGGGACTTCGTCGCTGCTCAAACTCTCTCCAACCCCCTTCACCCTCACTCAGCTACCCCCTCATCACCCCCTCCCACGGCCCCACCACTGCTCTGACCTCCTCTTCCACCCCACCCTACATTCCTCATACTGAAGCTCCCCCCACACTCCGCACCTTTGACCTTACTACCATCGAGGAAGTCTCCAAGATCCTCTCTGATGCCCGCCTCACCACCTGCCCCCTCGACCCTATCCCCTCACAACTCCTACGACCTTCCTCCTCCTCCATCCTACGCTCCCTCACCCACATCTTCAATCTCTCCCTCTCCTCAGGCACTTTCCCCTCCCCTCTGAAACATGCACACATCACCCCCATCCTTAAAAAGCCCTCCCTGGACCCCAATGACCCAAACAACCTCAGACCCATCTCCCTGCTCCCATTTACATCTAAACTCCTCGAGCGCCTAGTCTACACCCGCCTATGCTCTCACCTCAACGACAACAACCTCCTCGATCCCCTACAGTCCGGCTTCCGTCCCCTACACTCCACCGAAACTGCCTTACTCAAACTCTCCAACGACCTGCTAACCGCCAAAGCTAATGGCCACTATTCAGTGCTCCTACTCCTTGACCTCTCTGCGGCCTTCGACACAGTCGACCACCCCCTCCTCCTCAAAAAACTACACTCCCTCGGCCTCAGAGATTCTGCTCTCTCCTGGCTCTCATCCTACCTGTCACAACGCTCCTTCAGCGTTACCTATAATGCTACCACCTCCCCCTCACTCCCCCTCTCTGTTGGGGTCCCTCAAGGCTCTGTCCTCGGGCCCCTTCTCTTCTCCATCTATACCTCCACCCTTGGCCAACTCATACACTCTCACGGCTTCAACTACCACCTCTATGCCGACGACACACAAATCTATCTCTCAACCCCCCACCTCACCCCCTTGGTCTCAGCCCGAATCACACACCTACTGAGCGACATATCAGACTGGATGTCGCTCCATTTCCTTAAATTGAACCTCTCCAAAACCGAGTTTCTTGTCTTCCCCCCAGCCCGGACACCACCCCCCATTGATTTCTCCGTCACGTCCAACAACGCTACCATCAAACCCGCCCTGCAGGCCAGAGTACTGGGTGTCATTCTGGACTCCAACCTATCCTTCCAGCCCCAAGTCCAATCTTTAACAAACTCGTGCAGACTCCACCTCCGCAACATCGCCAAAATCCGCACGTTCCTAACCCCAGAAACCACTAAACAGCTCATCCACTCCCTCATCATATCACGACTCGACTACTGCAACTCCCTCCTCACTGGCCTACCTCGCCGCTGGCTATCCCCGCTTCAGTCGATCCTGAATACGGCTGCCAGACTCATTCACCTTTCCAACCGCTCTGTCTCCGCCACCCCCCTCTGCCAATCCCTCCACTGGCTTTCCGATTGCGCAACGGATCAAATTCAAAATCCTAACGCTGACGTACAAAGCTGTCCACCATACTGCCCCGAACTACATCACTGACCTAATATCCAAGTACCACCCAGTACGCACACTCCGCTCCTCACAAGACCTCCTTCTCTCTAGTTCCCTGGTCTCCTCCTCCCATGCCCGCCTCCAGGACTTCTACAGGGTGTCACCCATCCTCTGGAACTCCCTGCCCCAACCCATCAGATTATCACCTACTCTCCTCTCCTTTAGGCGCACCCTGAAAACCCATCTCTTCAGGGAAGCCTACCCCACCCCCTGCTAACTTGCCGACCTCCTCCACTCTTCCTACCACTCCATCCCCCACAGCTATCTCCTCCTGTGCCACCACCCCCCCCTCCCTCCTAGATTGTAAGCTCGAAAGAGCAGGGCCCTCGATCCCCTCATGTTTTGCATTGTATTGGTATTGTTCTGTCACATGTTCTGTCCCCCTTTGTAATGTACAGCGCTGAGCGAACTATTGGCGCTTTATAAATACAGTATAATAATAATAATAGGTCTGTGGATGATTGCATTTGGACATCGGCACCCCCACTCCTTAAGACCAAGGGAAGAATCCCCTCTCGTTGCTCAGAGTGGTGCTACAAGATCTTTTCCAGGTTGCAAAGAGCTACAGTTGTGTGACGTAACTCTGTTACATTCCTGTCTGGTGTGGCAGCGAGTGATGGCAGACTTTTTGTTTTAGGGTCAGAATTGGAACAGCAAATGCTGGGAATGGTGGAGGTCATCAAAAAAACATGCGGTGGCCACTACTCTGGGGCTGGAAGGGTTCATTTCTCAGTTAACCTGCCCCACAGAGGATCACTGTGAGTCTGCTGTTGCTTTGATTGCTGCCTTGTGAACTGGAAAATGTCCCACATTCCCAGACCACCAACAGAAGAGGGCGTGGTGGACGGGGCCCATAAACAATATCTTCATGAGTGGAATGTACCGTAAATCGTTCACACAAGAAATTCTCAAAGCCCTGCAGACAAAGCACACATTTAGTGGACACGGCAACTTGGGTGAGGGCTACAAATCGGGTATGATATTAGTGAGGTCCGGGGATCCACCGTTTGGCGGGTCGAATATTTCCCAGCTGTAGTTTGTGGTGGTCAGCTAGGAGGCGGTGACAACGTCCGAGGGTGGTAATGGGATTTGACATGGGCCAAAAACTTCCCCGTTCTGACAAAGCCCATCCCGCACTTGGCACAGAAGAAGCGTTTCTCCACCCGGTGGATCTTCTGGTGGCGGGTGAGGACGGAGCGGCTGACGTAACTTTTGCCGCATTCGGGGCAGATGTGCGGCTTGAGTCCGGTGTGACTCCTCTGGTGCTTGACCAGGTCAGAGCTGCTGATGAAACATTTGCCACATTCAGAGCAAGGATACGGCCTTTCTCCCGTATGAATCCTCTGATGGATCACCATCTCTGACCGAGTCAGAAAACTCTTCCCGCACTCAGAGCAGATGAACTGTTTGTCCCCGATGTGCATCTTCTTGTGCCTGAAGAAGTGAGAACTGGAGGAAAAAAAATTTCCCGCACTCAGGACATGAATATGGTTTGTGTCCGGTGTGGGACCTGCTGTGTTTGGTCAGGTCGGACCTGCTGGTGAAGCACTTCCCGCACTCTGTGCATGTGTAAGGTTTCTGCCCCGTATGGATCCTGTGGTGCATGGTTAAGGTGGACTGTTGGCTGAAACGTTTCCCACACTCTGAACACTGGAAAGGTCTCTCCCCTGAGTGGACCCGGCTGTGCTGGATAAGGTCTGCGTTGCTCCGGCAAGACTTCCCACACTCGGTGCAGGAAAACTGCTTTCCATTCACAGCATTGTGACCAGGCTTAGGGAGGATCTGTCTCTGTCCTTTTTCTTTGTCATCTTCCTGAAGGCCAACAACGTTCCACTTAAAGCAAATCACCTCTCCTTCCGTCAATTCACCTTCCAAGGAGGCCTCCTGAGGAACAAGAGCTGATGGACATTGTGCAGGAACATCAAGTTCTTCTAGAGGTCCTTCATCAGAAGTAAAGAGTTCCTCTTTAACGTGAGTAGATGTATGGTGTGAAAACACATTGAGGTGTAGGAGATCTCCAGCCATCGAGACCTCGGTGTGTAGAAGACTTTCCTTCTCAGGTAAGAGAGGAGCCTCCATAATATGACTGATTACCAGTTCACCTGGACATGAATCTGGTTCCTCCTTGATACCAACAGATACATGCTGGGTGAGGTCGGTGGGTGGAGGGAAGTCAGTGTGGGGACGGTTCCGTTCTTCCAGGGGCCCTTCTTTACAGAACGGAGATCCCTCATCAGGTGTTGCTTCTTCAGGAGGATCTGCAGGAATGAGAGAGTTGGATGAATGAAGAGGATCGTCTTCCTCAGATCTAATGACCTAATTAGAGCTGAAGAAGCTTCTTGGATGAGTGTTGAGATGTCTGGCCAACTACTAGATACTGATGACTACTGGAGCAAAGGACCTGATTTTCTGGCACCTTGTGGATTTACAGTTGAAGTTCGGCCTTCCGATTGGTTTTTATCTCCCAAGAAGGCCGACACAACCCAAGTGGGTAAGATACCACCACCAGAACCTCTATTACCACCCAACTCTTGTCACCGTACAAAGTTATGGAGTCACCTTCCCCCAATTAATGGGACCTTTGTGTAGATTCATGACTCGTATATAACGGGTGATAATGTTCGTTGTATGTACAGAAAGATCCTTACCAAATGACGAGAGGGACTGCCGATCGTCCATCACATCTCCTTCCAGACCGACCTGTAGAGAGACAGACAGTGACACCCTGACATCTTATAGGAACCTGACACATACAATGATACAGTCACCATCCAGACACATCCCTCGTCTATAACTGGAGAATGTCCCAGAATTCCCGACACCGCTCACCTCTCCTGTCAGCAGCTCCATCATCTTCTTGGTGACTTCTAGAATCTTCTGCATGTTGTGTCTCTCAGGGTTTAGGGAGTCACATGGAGGCACTGTTATGGTCATATGATCACCTGACTTCAGAAGAGGACATCTCTGTATTGGGGAACAAATAGGAATATCATGTTAGAATCCCAGAATCCTCCTCACCTCTCCGGTCAGGTCTGTGTGATGTCATGTGACCTCCCAGAATCCCCCTCACCTCTCCGGTCAGGTCTGTGTGATGTCATGTGACCTCCCAGAATCCTCCTCACCTCTCCGGTCAGGTCTGTGTTTTATTAATAGAGATGAGAGTGATGTCATGTGACCTCCAAGAATCCTCCTCAGCTCTCCGGTCAGGTCTGTGTGATGTCATGTGACCTCCCAGAATCCTCCTCACCTCTCCAGTCAGGTCTGAGTTTTATTAATAGAGATGAGAGTGATGTCATGTGACCTCCCAGAATCCTCCTCACCTCTCCGGTCAGGTCTGTGTTTTATTAATAGAGATGAGAGTGATGTCATGTGACCTCCCAGAATCCTCCTCACCTCTCCGGTCAGGTCTGTGTGATGTCATGTGACCTCCCAGAATCCCCCTCACCTCTCCGGCCAGGTCTGTGTTTTATTAATAGAGATAAGTGTGATGTCATGTGACCTCCCAGAATCCTCCTCACCTCTCCGGTCAGCAGGTAGATGATCTCCAGGGTGAGGTGTAGGATCCTTTCGACCATGGTGTCCGCCATCTTTGTTCGGAGGTGATCAGGTACGTCCGGCTCAGCTCTGCACAATAGAAGAAATATGGAGGATATGAGTTGTATCTCCAGGACGCAATGTCCGCATGGAGTGTGTATAACCCTGGCATAGAAGAGGGTTTGTATCTGAGGGGGCCCTATATTGTTAAAAAGGGTTCCAGATTTTGAAGAGCCCCCCGCTCGCAGACCCCCACAACCACTGGGCAGGGGTTGTGGGAAGGAGGACATTGTCCTCATCAACGTGGGAACAAGGTGCCTTTCCAGAGGGGTCCCCCATGTTGAGAACATGTCATTTGGTATAGTGGAAGTGAGTGGGGTGCACACTCATCCCCCCCTTGCCTGGACTGCATGCTCAGATAAGGGTCTAGTGTGGATTTTGTGGGGGAACCCAGTGCTTTTTTTCTGTTTTTGTTTCATGGAGTTCCCCCATTAAATTCACACCAGCCCTAAGGGTCAAGTATGGGATTTGGGGTGACCCCACACGACTTTTATCGGTGTATGGAGTCTGCCTTCACATCCATCAAGGATAAGGGTTTGGTATGTATTTTTAGGGGGACCTCTTTTTTTGTGTGGAGGACCCTCGACTAGGATAATGGTGTGGTATAGATGAGGGGGATCCCAGGATGTTTGTTTACAAACAGAAGGAAGCAGACGGGAACCACCAATCAAAGCAATAAGCCCAATATTCCTGGACCCCCAAAATCTCCGGGCCAGGGTTGTAGGAGAGAGGCCCTTTTCCTTATCATCATGGGAACAAGGAGCTTTGCTGGGAGGGGGGGCGGTATCTGAGGGCTCCTTTATTATTACAGGGGGATTCCAATACGACCCCCACCAACAGACTTCCCCACAAACTCTGGACCAGGTTTAGTTAAGTGGCCCTTGTTGTCATGAACATGGGGGGGCCCCAGTATTGAGAGTATGTGGCCTGGTATGGTTCAGGAGGGGGCGCTGCACACTTGTCCCCCTGCCTTCCTGGCCAGCCACACTGTATGCTCAGATTGGGGGTCTGCTTCCCGAGGGACCCAACCCAACTGAACCAAACCCAACCAGATCCAACCAAACCAACCCAACTCAACTGGACCCAACCAAATCCAACCAAACCAAATCCAACCAAACCAACCCAACTGAACCGAACCCAACCAAATCCAACCCAACTGGACCCAACCAAATCCAACCCAACTGGACCCAACCAAATCCAACCCAACTGGACCCAACCAAATCCAACCCAACTGAACCCAACCAAATCCACCCCAACTGGACCCAACCAAATCCAACCCAACCCAACTGAACCAAAACACAACTGAACCCAACACAACCAAATCCAACTGACTCCAACTGAACCCAACAAAACCCAATCAAACTGAACCCAACCGAACCAAACGAAACCCAACCCAGCCCAGTCCTGAACAGGACAGTTGGCTGATCCAGAGCTGTGAGAACTGTCAGCTGTCCCAGTAACCGTCCTCAGGACCTCCGGATTGTACGATATCATAGATGTGAGGACTATCAACGTCCCAGGACTTGTCCTTAGGAATCGCTCAGCCCCCCCCAATAGTATCTTGTGTCGCCCATCTTCAAAAAAATCCTCCTTGCAATCCTACGATTTCACAGCTACGAGGACGGTCCTTGGATCCCCCCACTCCTATCCTTTCTCACCTCCATCCACAGTCTGCTGCACTCACAGGAAGTACACCCTCCCCCACCCCACTGCATTGTGGGAGCTGTAGTCTCCTCCAGGCTCTGCGCTGGGATTGGTGGAGGTGTTAGCTGGCCGGCAGCCAGGCAAGGGGGGTTCTGTATACACGCAACAGCCAATCACAGCCGGGAGACGGTTCTATTCATCGGGATCAGACCCTCCAATGGCTGCGCCCTCACTCCTCATCGATGTGTAACCCCCCCCCCTCCGAGTTATGGAAGATCCGAGATTTCACAGATCTACTCCTTTAGGCCCAATGCACACACCATACAATCTGATTGTACAATCTCCATAAAGCTGGCCACACACCATACAATCTGATTGTACAATCTCCATAAGCTGGGCACACACACCATACAATCTGATTGTACAATCTCCATAAAGCTGGACACACCCCATACAATCTGATTGTACAATCTCTATAAAGCTCCATATAGCTGGCCACACACCATACAATCTGATTGTACAATCTGCTCTGACGCTCTGATTGTACGAAGTCTATGTCATCTTCTTTGGATTGGAGAGCTGTGATCCAATCTGACTGTACAACCTCCATACAATGATTCCAATGAGTCTCCCCTCCCCCACCCCTGACACCATAGACCGGTCACATGACCCTCTGCCGGAGGAGACTACAACTCCCACAATGCAGTGCGGTGTGGCAGTTCCTGGGATGGCTGTGTGGATGGAGGTGAGTGGAGATGGGACAGTCGGGGGATTTGGGGGGACGGTGCTCATAGACAGGACATCGCATGATTGGATGGGGGGGGGGTGAAGCACTACAAGATGTATGTCAGATGACGGTCTGCGATCTATCCTCCAATCACCATCGTCCTTTCCAGGGGGGCAATCCCAAGGTGTGTCTGACTTCAGGGGTCCCCCCCAATCTCTACCCATCGCCCCCAGGAAGGGTCTGTAGGGAGCGGGAGCCCCCTGATTGGTGTCTTTATTATCGATGATCCCAACATACCGGGGGTGCAGATTCAGGGGATGATGATGGAAGAAGGAGACCTATTAATGGGGGGCCCCTCATCTACACCAGAGATATATACCTAATAATGGAGGGGCCCTCATCTACATCAGAGAGATACCTAATAATGGGGGGCCTCTCATCTACACCAGAGATAGATACCTATTAATGGGGGGCCCCCTCATCTACACCAGAGATAGATACCTAATAATGGGGGGCCCCTCATCTACACCAGAGATAGATAACTAATAATGGGGAGCCCCTCATCTACACCAGAGATAGATACCTAATAATGGGGGACCCCTCATCTACACCAGAGATATACCTATTAATGGGGGGCCCCCTCATCTACACTAGAGATATATACCTAATAATGGGGGCCCCTCATCTACACCAGAGATAGATACCTAATAATGGGGAGCCCCTTATCTACACCAGAGATAGATACCTAATAATGGGGGGCTCCTCATCTACATCAGAGATAGATACCTAATAATGGGAGGCCCCTCATCTACACCAGAGATAGATACCTTTTAATGGGGGGCCCCTCATCTACATCAGAGATAGATACCTAATAATGGGGGGCCCTCATCTACACCAGAGATTGATACCTAATAATGGGGGCCCCTCATCTACACCAGAGATAGATACCTAATAATGGGGAGCCCCTTATCTACACCAGAGATAGATACCTAATAATGGGGGGCTCCTCATCTACACCAGAGATATATACCTAATAATGGGGGGCCCCTCATCTACACCAGAGATAGATACCTTTTAATGGGGGGCCCCTCATCTACACCAGAGATAGATACTTAATAATGGGGGGCCCTCATCTACTCCAGAGATAGATACCTAATAATGGGGGGGGGGCTCATCTACACCAAAGATATATACCTAATAATGGGGGGGCCCTCATCTACACCAGAGATATATACCTAATGGGGGGCCATCATCTACACCAGAGATATGTACCTAATAATGGGGGGGGCCCCTCATCTACACCAGAGATAGGTACCTAATAATGGGGGGCCCTCATCTACACCAGAGATAGGTACCTAATAATGGGGGCCCGTCATCTACACCAGAGATATATACCTAATAATGGGGGCCCCTCATCTACACCAGAGATATATACCTAAGAATGGGGTCCCCTCATCTACACCAGAGATAGATACCTAATAATGGGGGCCCCTCATCTACACCAGAGATAGATACCTAATAATGGGGGGGCCTCATCTACACCAGAGATAGATACCTAATAATGGGGGGCCCCTCATCTACACCAGAGATAGATACCTAATAATGGGGGGCCCTCATCTACACCAGAGATAGATACCTAATAATGGGGGGCCCCTCATCTACACCAGAGCTAGATACCTAATAATGAGGGCCCCTCATCTACACCAGAGATAGATACCTAATAATGGGGGGCCCTCATCTACACCAGAGATAGATACCTATTAATGGGGGGCCCCATCCTCATCTACACCAGAAATATATACCTAATAATGGGGGGCCCCTCATCTACTCCAGAGATATATACCTAATAATGGGGGGCCCCTCATCTACACCAGAAATATATACCTAATAATGGGGGCCTCTCATCTACACCAGAGATATATACCTAATAATGGGGGGCCCCTCATCTATACCATAGATACCTAATAATGGGGGGCCACTCATCTACACCAGAGATAGATACCTAATAATGGGGGGCCCCTCATCTACATCAGAGATAGATACCTAATAATAGGGGCCCCTCATCTATACCAGATATATATATACCTAATAATGAGGGGCCCTCTCATCTACAGCATATTAATGGGGGAAATGAGAGGGAATCTCTCCCAAGTGGATGGAATTCCCTTCTCCTAGAGTCATCCATGTTTCGGGGATCTCCCCTCATGTCTTCTCCTGGTGACCATAGAGAAGGAGAGTCTCAGCAGGAACCTCGGCAGCAGCAAATCAAGGACAGAGGGCCCGACCCCTCACCACTGGTACAGAAATCACGTGTTGTGGGATTGGTGTACAGGTTGAGCCCGAACATTTTGGGTGTCCAATCATTGGGAGGTCCTGGTTTCCATGGAAGGCTTTTGGCTGAGAGTTGGTTCTTCTCAGTGACCGGGGACGTGGGCCAATCTGGCAGTAGGTGTGTTGTGGAAGGAAGGGTTCCTACATGGGAGACAACAGACAAACTCCATATAGATGGACCTGTGGTGGAAACTATTGATTTTTCCTCATTTTCCTTCTCGTGCAGAGATGAGCGGAGAGCGACCACCAAAGGTCTGACCAACGATGGAGGACACCATGACTGAAAGGATACTGAACCTCACCCTGGAGATCTTCTACCTGCTGACCGGAGAGGTGAGGAGGATTCTGGGAGGTCACCTGACATCACTCCTATCTCTATTAATAAAACTCAGACCTGACCAGAGAGGTGAGGAGGATTCTGGGAGGTCACATGACATCACACAGACCTGACCAGAGAGCTGAGGAGGATTCTGGGAGGTCACGACATCACTCTCATCTCTATTAATAAAACGCAGACCTGACCAGGGAGGGGAGAGGGATTCTGGGTGGTCACATGACATCACACAGACTTGACTGGAGTGGTGAGGAGGATTCTGGGAGTCTAACATGATGTTCCTATTGGTTCTCCAATACAGAGATGTCCTCTTCTGAAGTCAGGTGATCATATGACCATTACAGTGCCTTCATGTGACTCCCTAAACCCTGAGAGACACAACATGCAGAAGATTCTAGAAGTCACCAAGAAGATGATGGAACTGCTGACAGGAGAGGTGAGCGGTGCCGGGAATTCTGGGACATTTTCCAGTAACAGACGAGGGATGTGTCTGGATGGTGACTGTATCATTGTGTGTGTCAGGTTCCTATAAGATGTCAGGGTGTCACTGTCTGTCTCTCTACAGGTCGGTCTGGAAGGAGATGTGATGGACGATTGGCAGTCCCTCTCGTCATGGGGTAAGGGTCTCTCTGTACATACAATGAACATTGTCACCTGTTATATACGAGTCATGAATCTCCACAAAGGTCCCGTTGATTGGGGGAAGGTGACTCCATAACTTTGTATTGTGATAAGAGTTGGGTGGTAATGGAGGTTCTGGTGGTGGTATCTAACCCACTTGGGTTGTGTCGGCCTTCTTGGGAGATAAAAACTGATTAGGAGGCTGAACTTCTCCAACTGTAATTTCACATGTTGCCAAAGAAGTCAGGTTTATCCTTTGCTCCAGTAGTCATGAATATCTAGTAGCTGGCCAGACATCTCAACACTCATCCAAGAAACTTCTTCGGCTCTAATTAGGTCATTAGATCTGAGGAAGACGATTGGATGAGCAGCAAAACATCTTCAACATGACAGAACAAGTTATGATGAATGTCACCAACTATGACTAGCTATACCATGACCAGGATACATGAGAACCTTCAGAATGTTCCTCCTCATTCATCCAACTCTCTCGTTCCTGCAGATCCTCCTGAAGAAGCAACACCTGATGAGGGATCTCCGTTCTGTAAAGAAGAGCCCCTGGAAGAACGGAACCGTCCCCCCACTGACTTCCCTCCACCTACCGACCTCACCCAGCATGTATCTGTTGATATCAAGGAGGAACCAGATTCATGTCCAGGTGAACTGGTAATCAGTCATATTATGGAGGCTCCTCTCTTACCTGAGAAGGAAAGTCTTCTACACACCGAGGTCTCGATGGCTGGAGATCTCCTACACCTCAATGTGTTTTCGCAGCATACACCTACTCACGTTAAGGAGGAACTCTTTACTTCTGATGAAGGACCTCTAGAAGAACTTGATGTTCCTACACAATGTCCATCGGCTCTTGTTCCCCAGGAGGCCTCCTTGGAAGGAAAATTTACGGGAGGAGAAGCAATTTGCTTCAAGTGGAACGTGGTTGACCCTCAGGGAGTTCATCTACAAAAAAAGCCGAGACAGATCCTCCCTAAACCCGGTCACACAATGTAGTGACTAGAAAGCAGTTTTCGTGCACCGAATGTGGGAAGTGTTTCCAGAGCAATGCAGACCTTATCCAGCACAGCCGGATCCACTCAGGGGAGAAACCTTTCCAGTGCTCGGAGTGTGGGAAACTTTTTAGCAAACAATCCAGTCTAGCCATACACCACAGGATCCATACGGGACAGAAGCCATATTCATGTTCTGAGTGCGGGAAGTGCTTCACCAGCAGGTCCGAACTGACCAAACACAACAGGTCCCACACAGGACTTAAACCGTACATATGCTCTGAGTGTGGGAAATTCTTCACCTGCAGCTCCAACCTTTTCCGACACAAGAAGATCCACACAGGTGAAAAGAAGTTCATCTGCTCCGAGTGTGAGAAGAGTTTCCTGACCCGGTCACAAATGGTCATCCATCAGAGGGTCCACACGGGGGAGAAACCGTACCCATGTTCTGAGTGCACCAAGTGCTTCGTCAGCAGCTCCGACCTGGCCAAGCACCAGAGGAGCCACACCGGACTCAAGCCGCACATCTGCCCCGAATGCGGCAAAAGTTACGTCAGCCGCTCTGTCCTCACCCGCCATCAGAAGATCCACCGGATGGAGAAACGCTTCTTTTGTGCCGAGTGCGGGATGGGCTTTGTGAGGATGGGGAAGTTCTTGGCTCATGTCAAAGCCCACAGCCGACCTCGGACTTCTTCCAGGACTCTGAAATGAAAGCTAAGCCAGACATTGAACCTTTGAAATCTGAGATCTGGTTACTGGAGGTCTTCCTGAATCCATCACACACCAGTTTTGTTTGAAGGCATTTCGGGTTTTGGAGCTCCAGTCCACCTCACTTCTATCTGTAGTCTGGTGATCTGGAAACCCCCACCTAGGATAAGGGAGGAGTGTTCCCAGACACACCCACTATCCTCGCTATCAAATGAGGTTTCTTCTTTTTTTACAACCACCAATCAGAATGTGGTGGCTCATGGAGCGGTGAGGGATGAGGATGGAGATCTGAGCAGCCACCATGTGAGGTGCTCTCTGGATTCTGGCTGCAATGCTAAGATTAAAGGGTGGTGACCCCAACAATGAGAAATCTTCATTTGTCTCCTTTTCGTTTGTTGAATATGTTGATGAATTTTATATATATATATATATATATATATATATACACACAGTTGTGTTCAAAATAATAGCAGTGTGTTGAAAAAAGTATATATATTCCAAATCAAAACATGAAGAAAAATAGATCAAATTTGTGTTGTTCCTCTAAAAAAATTGAAGAAAAGTGAATATTAGACTGTTCAAAAAAATAGCAGTGTTTGTATTCTTCTTTACAAACTCAAACATTCACTATATAAACTGAAAAATGTTCAAAGATTTTGCTTTCCTTTTAATCCCTTAATTATTATTTAGTTATATAAGCACTGTTTCTGAGAACTGCTGTACATCTGTGTTGCATGGAGTCAACCAACTTCTGGCACCTGTGAACAGGTATTCCAGCCCAGGATGATTGGACTACATTCCACAGTTCTTCTCTACTTCTTGGTTTTGCCTCAGAAACTGCATTTTTGATGTCACCCCACATGTTTTCTATTGGATTAAGATCCGGGGATTGGGCTGCCTGAAACCTGGGGAGAACTTCCTGTGTGGTCTGCCTCTGCTTCACTCCCAGGGATCACTGAGGACTTCAGTAGAAGAGGAGGGGGAGGTGACAACACTGCCCCCCTTAGATACAGTATGGTGAGTGTTGTCACCCTGGGACAGGAAGTGTGTTGCTGGCAGGATCTCCAGGTGAAAAGAAAAGAGAAAAGACTGGAAAAAAAACAGAAAACGAATGCAGCTGCCACATCTGCCGACTGGTAAGCTGCAATAGAGGATGTGGAGGGCTTCAGTGATCCACCTACTAATACTGTGGTCCCAGATCTGGGGGCTCTGCTAACCCACTGACACCCCAACATCTTGAGGCAAGTCCCTCAAAAAGGAAGGTGAAGCCCCAAGAGGGGGTCACCTCCATATTTATGACCATGGGGAGAGGAAGCTATTCCATTTTAATGACCAAGGGGGGAGGGGGCAATTCTATAATGGCCATGGGGTTAGGGGGCTATTCCATATTGATGGCCATGGGGGGAGGGGGCAATTCCATAAAAATGGCCATGGGGGAGGGGGCTATTCCATATTAATGGCCATGGGAGGAGCAAGCTATTCCATATTGATGGCCATGGGGGGATGGGGCTATTCCACAATAATGGACATGGGGGGGAGCGGGCAATTCCATATTGATGCCCATAGGGGGAAATTCCATAATAATGACCATGGGGGAGGGGGCAATTCCATAATAATGACCATGGGGGGAGGGGGCTATTCCATAATAATGGCCATGGGAGGAGCAAGCTCTTCCATATTGATGGCCATGGGGGGAGGGGGCTATTCCACAATAATGGCCATGGGGGGAGCGTGCAATTCCATATTGATGGCCATTGGGGGAGGGGGTAATTCCATAATAATGGCCAGGGGGGGAGCGCGCAATTCCATATTGATGGCCATGGGGGGAGGGGGCTATTCCATAATAATGACTATGGGGGGAGGGGGCAATTCCAAATTAATGGCCATGGGGGAGGGGGCAATTCCATAATAATGGCCATGGGGGGAGGGGCTATTCCATAATAATGGCCATGGGGGTAGGGGGCTATTCCATATTGATGGCCATGGGGGGAGGGCTATTCCATATTAATGGCCATGGGGGAAAATTCCATATTAATAGCGATGGTGGCGGGGCAATTCCATATTAGGAAGAAAGAGGGGCACTGCACAGGACTGGGGGGGTAACACTACCCGGCCGAGGGTCTCCATCACCAGGTCTCAATGCTTATTAGGACATTGTCAGGGCAGCTTTGTATCATTTCATTGGACAGAATAGTGATGACCTCATCAGATAGCCCAACCTCCTTCATTAGCCAATTACCAGGCTGTGAGCAGGGCAGTGACCAAGCTGTGCTGGTTAGGATCAGTGGAGGAGAGAATGGTCACCAGTTTCCCAGAAGAGGTGTCCAGATCACAGACCTGGCTGTACAGAATGACCAATTCTTTTGAAGGTGCCACTGCTCACATGGATGTTCCTCAGAGGGATGTCCGGCCGAGGGCGGGGACTTCAGCTTTGTCCACCCAGATCCTTCATCACTGATTGGCTGAGCTCTCCACCAATCATGTGATGGATAACTCACTGTCTGTCCATGAATTTGAGTCTGTAGATCACTACATGGACAAAGAGGAGACAATGCACTGGGCTCAGGAACCATCTGAGGGGGCTCACCATCAACCAGTCCAACATGGAGGAACTACTAGATAATGGTATGGGACAGTGGTCTCCAAACTGTGGCCCAGGGGCCAGATGTGGCCCCTTGCTTGCTTTTATCTGGCCCTTGGAACACTGTTTCTCTGACACCAACAATTTGGCATGTTTCCACCCACTGACACCGATGAATGGGCACTATTACTCCCACTGACACCAACAATGGGGCACTATTCCCCCACTGACACCAACAATGAGGCACTATTCCCCGACTGACACCACCGATGGGGCACTATTCTTCCCACTGACACCAACGATGGGGCACTATTCCTCCCACTGACACCAGCGACGGGGCACTATTCCTTCCACTGACACCAACGATGGTGTAATATTCCTCCCACTGACACCAACGACGGGGCACTATTCCTCCCACTGACACCGACAAGGCACTATTCCTCCCACTGACACCAACAATTAGGCATATGTCCTCACTGACCCCAATGAAGGGGCCCAGTCTGAAGGGCAGTAACTTTGGAGACCCGTGGTATAGGGTAAGGCCATAGATGTACCTGGTGTAGCTCCCCAGACTGGCCATTGGTTGTCGCTATAGTTCAGGTTGGGAATCCTGTAGTGGGAGCAGGTGGTTCAGTTGTCATTGGAGCCACTAGGGGCCCCCATATGTAAGGTAGCCATGATCAGAAATCAGAAGAAATTAGAGGTCATGGCAGACCTGCGAGTGTGGGGCATCTTGGGTATGGAAGTAGTCGGTCAGCAGTCCACATCTCTCTCTACCTCATGGGAAGCACAAAGGCAGCAAAGGTGACATCTGAGGACCCACATTCTGGGGCTCCCCAAGCAGGGAGGGGTGCAGGACCTCATTGCTGTAAGGCCTGTGGTGGCAATGTGGAGGTTCGGTTGGAGAACATCGCTCAGGCCCAGCCAGGTGAACTCACCTGAAGGGTAAGGAAATAGAAGACCCCCTCTGAGAAATCCCAGGTCCAGGGGATCTCAAAAACCACCTCCATATCCGGGCATGCATGGGTCAAAGAGTACACATGGTGACCATGCAGCCCAAACCCCCATCGTTACACCACGATGGGATCCACTACCAAACATTTCATCGATAATTATCTGCTTCATGGGAACGTCTGGAAGATGTGACACCAGAAGACATCTAAACCTAGCCCCTCCATCATTACACCCTGATGGGATCCATTACCAAACATTTAATCGATAATTATCTGCTTCATGGGAACATCTGGAAGACGTGACACCAGAAGACGTCTACACCCAACCCCCCCATCATTACACCACGATGGGATCCATTACCAAACATTTCAGCGATAATTATCTGCTTCATGGGAACGTCTGGATGACGTGACACTAGAAGACTTCTACACCCAACCCCCCATCATTACACCATGATGGGATCCATTACCAGACATTTCATCAATAATTATCTGCTTCATGGGAGCGTCTGGAAGATGTGACACCAGAATACGTCTATGGCCAACCCCCCCATCATTACATCACGATGGGATCCATTACCAAACATTTCAGCGATAATTATCTGCTTCATGGGAACGTCTGGATGACGTGACACTAGAAGACTTCTACACCCAACCCCCCATCATTACACCATGATGGGATCCATTACCAGACATTTCATCAATAATTATCTGCTTCATGGGAGCGTCTGGAAGACGTGACACCAGAATACGTCTATGGCCAACCCCCCCATCATTACACCACGATGGGATCCATTACCAAACATTTCATCGATAATTATCTGCTTCGTGGGAACATCTGGAAGACGTGATACCAGAAGACGTCTACACCCAACCCCCCCATCATTACACCACGATGGGATCCATTACCAAACATTTCATCGATATTTATCGGCTTCATGGGAACGTCTGGAAGATGTGACACCAGAAAATGTCTACACCCAGCCCCCCCCCCCATCATTACACCACGATGGGATCCATTACCAAACATTTCATCAATAATTATCTGCTTCATGGGAACATCTGGAAGATGAGACACCAGAAGACATCTATGCCCAACCCCCCATTATTACACCACCATGGGATCCATTACTAAACATTTCATCGATAATTATCTGCTTTATGGGAACATTTGGAAGACGTGAAATCAGAAGACTTCTACGCCTGCCCCCCATCATTACACCACGATGGGATCCATTACCAGACATTTCATCGACAATTATTTGCTTCATGGGAACGTCTGGAAGATGTGACACCAGAAGACTTCTATACCCATCCCCCTCCATCATTACACCACGATGGTATCCATTACTAGACATTTCATCGATAATTATTTGCCTCATGGGAACGTCTGGAAGATGTGACACCAGAAGACGTCTACACACAACCCCCCATCATTACACCTCGATGGGATCCATTACCTGAAATTT